TTTTTTTTTTTTTTTTTTTTTCTTTTGGGTTATTTGGACGAGCAGAAAAGAGAGTAGAATTCCTTAGATTGTGGTCCAATCATCCTTAAAAGGACTAGTATGGGGATATATTCCCTTATAAAAAGCTCAATATATGTACATAGCCATTGTTTGAACATCGGATTTAGTAGGGACAAACAATTCATTGGTCAGCTTCCGGGGATCTATAAATGGTCCATGCAATGCCATTGAAGTCCAAATCGTTTTACTTCAAAAAAAAAAAAAAAAAAAAAAAAAAAAAAAAAAAAAAAAAAAAAAAATTAGAAGATGCCAATGCCGCCAAACTCCCTTTTGAAACTTTTTCCTTTTTCTGTTCCTCAATTTTGCTTTGGTAAAGTGGATCATCCAAGACGAATCTCATAATTATATGAGGCCCCCAGTTCCCTTCGGCTTCTCCTTGCAATGTCTTTACGTGAAGCATTTTGACTCATCTAGGGGTTATATGATCTCCTTTACCCACAACATGGCCTCCAAAGGAATTACTATGAGCAACGAAATCCACAAGGAAAAAAAAAAAAAAAAGTGTGAGAGAAAGAGAGTTAATGAAGTTCCTCAATGGACCTAAATATGTGCTTTTTGTATACAAAGGGGTGCGAACTTATATATGAGTGCTTAAACGGCTTTAACTTTTTGTTTGTTTGTTTTGTTTTGTTTGTTTTGTTTTGTTTTGTTTGTTTGCTTTGTTTTTTTTATTTTATTTTATAAACGGCTTTAACTTTTAAGTACTTCTTTTAAAGTGAAATCTTTGACATTCAACAATGTAATAAAGATCTCGTTTAGCAAGTTGTCGAACAATAACAATGCTTACTTAAACTAATTTTTTTTTTATTTTTAAAAAAGGGGTTAAAAGTATATTCACGATTTCAATTCGACAATCACTTGACAATTTATTACAATCGCAGCTTAAACTCTATATTACAATATGTGGCCGATTAACTTCAGTTTGCATTAGAATCACATATTAGCTGGAGATATTGGCACGATCCATTTAATAAGGTGAGAGTAATCCCCTCCTAACAAACTATACTTGACAGCTCAACACATTTACACTTAAAATAACAAACTTAATAGTTTGGTTTATCTCGTTTGTCCACAAATTTGGAAATGAAACGTAGGCGTGACACGTGATTTTATTTGATCTAGTGAATAATTAAGATGCAAATTTATTGGTCCGATGTATATCAAAACCCCAACCATGCATTATTGGCGGCGGTCATCAAGGCCTGCGGGCACACTCTATATTACAACGTGTGGCCGATTAACTTCAGTTTGTATTAGAATCCCATATTAGCTGGAGATATTGGCACGATCCATTTAATAAGGTGAGAGTAATCCCCCCTAACAAACTATACTTGACAGCTCAACACATTTACACTTAAAATAACAAACTTAATAGTTTGGTTTATCTCGTTTGTCCACAAATTTGGAAATGAAACGTAGGCGTGACACGTGATTTTATTTGATCTAGTGAATAATTAAGATGCAAATTTATTGGTCCGATGTATATCAAAACCCCAACCATGCATTATTGGCGGCGGTCATCAAGGCCTGCGGGCACTTATGACAAGCTAATGGGATTATATCACTCTTGACCATTGATAAATGATAATGAAGCCGTATTATCAAGATATTCGGAATGGCAAATCTTAAACCGAAAGTGCTAGCAAATTTGCTCATTAGCTTTTCAGTGCTGGTCTAAATCAAGGATAAATGTCAAATACTTGACCGAAAGTGTGTAACATGCATGGATGAGCTTTACAATATGAGGTGCATACAATATGCTCAATGGAATAGACTTATTAATGTTAAATCATGATTTGCTTTCATTAACGACAATGATGATAATTGGTGGTCATTTGACAGTTAGCGTAGGAGAAAGCATATAATTTCGTACTTAACTTTTGGGTCCATTTATGTTGGCAGCTAGCCATCTATAGCCTGTTTCCTTTTCAGTACATTCAAACAAATCGTGTGTATAAAATTATAGCAGACATATATAATGGAGGAAATTATGCCTTCCTTATACCATTTTAGTGAAGAGTAGTTTTTGTAATAGCATGTGACTTATTATAGTTCTCGTTAGCTTTTTTTTTTTTTTTTTCCCCTTATGAATTATCATTTTTAAGTGAAATACTTTTTGATCGACTCATGTGAAACCATTATAATACGGTCAAATATTTCAATATCGTTTACGTAATTAGATTATAATAAATTAGTAGCAAACAAAACTCAATTAGGAAAACGATTGGCATATAGTAAATGAAACTTTCCTTCAATATTAAATAATGAAATTAAAAACAAGAACATATATGTATGATAGTGTGACGGGAATAGGATGTTTTACTAGTACTGTCTAATCCAGCTAAACTTTGACCAGGATTTCCTTTTATGGACCGCCATTTCAGTATACAACTTTAACTGATACAGAAGTTCATCCAAAACAAGCAAAGCATCTTGAGGACAGTTTTTTTGGAGATAAGCTTGGACTCACGGAGCTCTCTTGTTGGTAAACTTGAAACATCAAATCCCATAAATACAACTGCTAAAAGGACCTCAAAAGAAATTAACCCAGAAAATTAATTATGGAACTACTAAAAACCCATTTCCAAAACAAAGCTCAACCATGGCTATGTGATTGCATGTGATGTCCCATTAATAACCACACAATGTTACAAGTTTCCATTGTAAAAAGATCACAAATCAACTGCTTATAATAATTTCTAAACAGTAAAAAAAAAAAAAGAATAAAATTGACCAACTTCAAGTAATATAACATACACATACATTTATATACATTATATAATGGGCGCGTAAGTGTTTGAATTAAGTTGAACAAAACTATAAAGATTCTAGGAATCGGAAGGGATACTATCGACCTAAAAGATGAATCTTGAAGAGAGTAGTGGTTGAGGAGTTTCAGACAAAAGCTGTGTGTCCCTCTCTTTGTTTATTTAATGCGAATTTCACTTGCTGATGGGAGTGCCCACATGTTCCCTCTGAAGAAGATTATTGAAAAAAGAGGAGAGGAAGAGAAATACATTCACACACACACACACACACACTTATATGTATATGATACATAAATATATATATGTGTGGATATATATAAGTTTCTTTGGATCTATCGATAGATCGACTTTCTCCAACATGGAGAAAAAACCCCAACATTTGGATTTGAGTTCACCATGAGAAACAACAGTCCAACTGTTTGATTATATATATAGCCGGTATATATCCTCTTTCCCAACAGAATATAAACAAACAAAATATATATTTATTACATTAAAAAAAATACATTTAGCAAGAAAAAGGAAAGGCTTTGCTTTGTCCTTCCCTAGGCAACACTCCCATAATTAATAAATCCAACATTCATCTGGGTCTTACCTTCTCAGTATATATACTCCGCTAATTAAGCTAATATATCTTATATTAATCTTAGTTTTAAGCATGCGATATAATTAAGAAACTCAATTATTTGACATGAATAACTATTCTGAAGGTAAAAAAAAAAAAAAAAAAAAGGAAAAAGAAAATTAAAATATCATTGTCTGTACAGACGCCTGCAAAAGTAAATGCAAGGGGTAAGCAAGAAAGATAGCAAAGACTTGAAGACAACAGGAAAAGACCAGAGAAGAGAGGTCCCATGATCAGCCTTTGCAGTTTCATTGATCATTTAAAGTTGGACCCTAATGTACCTTCAGAAGAAAACAGACTATTAACAAAAAGTGAACAAGAGCTAGAAGAAGAAATATTGAAGACCAGTAAGCAAGCAAGCAAGGAAGTAAAGCAAGCAAAGGTTTTGGAATCTCATGATCGAGAAAAAAGACCAGAAAAACTCGCATTGGTATAGATGAAGAACCAATCAAACCGAAAAGGGTCTAATAAAATAGAAACAAAAGCTATCAAAGAAAGAAAAGAAAAAAAAAAAAAAAGGGAAAAAGGAAAAGGTAATAAAATGAGATATTGAGCTCATTGAATGCCATTAATAAAACTTCCAATCACAGAAAACCAACTCTCTTACCTTGGATTGAAACGAAAAGGGTGGTCAGTTAGAAGAAGTAAATGATCAGTGACGCAGACACAGATACGCGAGCGAACACGTAGGGAAGATGCATTTAAACGGAAAATTCAGCTTCGCACACGTTTGCCCCCAAACACCAAACAAAAACCGATACTTTTTCCTTTACACAACCGTCGATTATTATATACACATATACACACATGTACAAAATAAAAGATCATTAATTTCCCTTGTTATCTGCTAGCTCGTCGTTGTCAAAAGTCTCATTTAAACATGCAACAAAAATTGAACACAAAGTCTCATGATCAAGATGATATTAATTAATATCAATAGAGCTTGAGAGCTTTAATTTCAATGCATTGCAATACAGGAATGATCATCAGAATATTGAACCATTAATAATAGTAATTAATATATCTAGTCTCTTAAGATGTTCACGACAAACCTCCCGTCCAATGCTCCACCACCAAAAAAAAAAAAAAAAGTGAATGAGAGAAGGAAAAAGAAACTAGCAAGAAAACCCTTAAACTAAAATCCCGAGAAAATACGCTACAAGAATTTCTCGACCATTAATAAGTGACCATTCAGCTGCAGCTAGCCAGCTAACATAACACGATTCCCCACTTGCAATATTACCTCGATCAAACGCCTGTACCATAGTATTTCTTTCAGTGCAAATGTAGAGAGAGAGAGAGAGAGAAATATCACAATGTCGACTAAGAAAATGACCTCTCTCATTCCCTTCCTTCATCAAACTCATCCTAAACCTAGCTAGAGTAGAGATTTGTTCTCTAAACTTAGATACAAAAAAAAAAAAAAAAAAAAAAAAACACAACTTACCATGAAGAAGAATAATAACAACAATGACAATAGTAATTAATAGTAGATTAACAACAACAATGATAGAAGTACCAGCAGAATGATGATGATGATGATCTCATGCATTTTTGATCATTTTTTCTTTTAGTTGTAGTGTGTGAGTACTACTGGCTAGGGTTTTTTGCCGAGGGTGTGCTTGTTGTTGTGCATCCAGACCTTGAGGACATGGCGGCGGACTCCAGTGTCATTACAAAACTGCTGAAACTCGTCCTGCTTCTGAATCCGCCACCCGAGCCTCTCCGCCAGCGCCAGCATCCTCTCCTTCTGCTCCGGCGTGAACTTGGTCCGGAACCTCTTCTTTCCTCCCCCAGACGACGTCGTTCCGTACATCCCTCCTCCGCTTGGGTTCGACACATCCTCCTGATCCTCCCTGCTGGGGCTCCCACCTCCGCCCGACGTCGACGGCAGCGCCAGCGGCCTATGGTGCGCCGTCACGTGGAGGTACCCGGCCGGTGTTCGGTAGTAGGGAGAGAACTGCGGGTGCGCCGCCGCAGCCGGAGGGTAGTGGTGGTGAGGTGGCACGAGTCCGTACGGCTCCGGAGTTAAGCCGATTCCTCCGCCGCCGATTTCGGTTTCCTTGCGGTGGAAGTTGCGGTGGCAGCTGCAGGCGGCGCACTTGAGCGCTTCGAGAGTGCCCTCGGCGCCGGCGGCTAAGAACTCGCCGCAGCCGTCGAGGGCGTGGCCTCCGAGCCCCACGGCGTGGTTCTTCAGGCACTCGCGGTACCTCGGCTTGGTCCTCGGCTGCGACTGGGCCGTCGTGGCTCCCTCAGCCGCTGCTCCAGAACTCGGCATTTTCACTCGGCCTGAGTTACCCTGCAGCGACTCGTAGCTCGCCGCCATCTCCATCTCCTCGTCGTGCTCCTCTTGATCTTCGTACTCCATTTTTGTTTTTCTTCCTCCGAAACCTGAATTAACCGACTTAATTAATTTGTCGGAAAGCTCTTTACAATCTAATTAATTAGAGGGTAAAAAAAAAGAGAAGAATATTTCTGGTTAATTTTGCAGTTTGCCGGAGTAGGAGAATTTCAGTCGTTTTTTTTAGGGAGAGAAACAAATGAAAGAAAAGGAATTTGGGGGTTTTAGAGAAGAAGATAACAGAACTTAAAAAGGAGGGAGAGAGTGTGGCCGTGAATTTTTTCGCTCTCTCTGCAAAAGAAATGTTGTCTTTCCAACCCCTTCATATACTTACCCGTTTTCTCAAAACCCAACTCCGTAACCCCCCCTCCTCTCTCTCTCTCTCTCTCTCTCTATATGTGGGTATATATATATATATATTCTCTTTCTCTCTCTTTATATATTTACATATATATTCTATCGTCCCCACTGCCACCGGCTTCACCGGTTCAACGGGTCATTTTCACCTCTTCGTACTAGACTCACTGCGCGGTAAAAAAGAAAAAACAATCCAGTAGGTTGTACAACTAACCTTGCAACACAGCAAGTACTCAAGTGAGAGTATATAACGTGGGTTTTAAAGGCTTCTAAAGCATAGAACACTAGAGCAAAGCAAAATTGTATCCCATAGATTTGACGGTTCAAATTTGGACTGTATATGCTACATAAAGTTGCTTCTAGAGGGTTATTTTGAGATTTGAAAGTAATCTAGACTCTGGTTTCGTTCATTTCATCGATTTGAATTTTCAGTTTTAAGTTTTTACAGTAAAAAATTTTCAGAAAATATCACATCTAACTTTTTCTGTTACAGTGAAAAGCTTTCAGAGTTTTCAGTTTTAAGTTTTTACAGTAAAAAATTTTCAGAAAATATCACATCTAACTTTTTCTGTTATAGTGAAAAGCTTTCAGAAAATATCACATCTCAGCTCGAATTGAAAACTCGAATCCGCGAAATGAACGAGGTCTTATTCATTTCACTGATTCGAGTTTAAAATTTAAATTTTATTACAATAAAAAGCTTACAGAAACAGTCACATCTAACTTTTTTCTTACAATAAAAAATTTTCACATAAAATTACATCTCAACTCAAATTAAAAATTTAAATTAACGAACTAAACGAGTCATGTAAATTTCTAAGATGAGCATTTAAGGAGCATGACAGAATTTGATCCTCAAAATCCAACTTCAATAGCATATATATATATATATTTTCAAGTTCTTTCTCTATTCCTAACCTCTTTTTATCTAGATTCTCTTAGATTTTTTAACTAAAGTTATTTTGTCGTTGGTTATTTTATTTTTATTGTACGTTTCTAAATTTCAGATTTCATAAGAATAAGATCAGATTTAAGTGAATGATAGTGAGTCAGATTAAAACCACTTATATTATCTTGACCTATTTGTTTAAGATTGGTGGGGCCTACTACTATGTGAGACTGAATTTTCTACTCTAACATTTTATATTTTAAAAATGTATAAATATGACACAATCTAATTAAAGATAATTTAGGATTTCTACACTATACCATATTGTAATATCGGTGTACCTTAACTTTTACCTATAACAATGACTTTAAAACCATGTAAAATATTAATTCATTACTTGCCCCAATTCAAATAGTATTTCACTAATTATGAACATGGTTACCAACTTACAACTTTTTTAGGGGTTGTTTGATTAGAGCGTTTAAAGAGTTTAAACTCAAATTTAAATTCAAACATTTGTGTTTAAACCCGTGGTTATTTATATTATAAAAAGTAAAAAATGGTTTAAACCCTTAATATAACATTTCTGACCCAAAATTCTCAAGAAATAAAAGGATTTATGAACCTAAGTCCTTTTTGGGTTCTCAGGGTAAACCTAATAACACTAGTCAAATCCAAAAGATTTAATTTGAACTCCATTACCAAATAAACCTTAAACATTTTTGGGAGAAAAAAATACTGTAGTAAAATCAAAATTATAAAGGCCCGTTTAGTTCATAATGTGAGTTTTTAATTTAAATTGAGATGTAATTTTATGTGAATTTTTTACTGTAATAAAAAGATTAAATATGATTGTTTATAAAATTTTTTTATTATAACAAAACTCGAATTTGTATAATAAAATGTGTCTAACTTTAAACGCATGAAACAAACAGTCCTTAAACTGCGTTCAACCACGCGCTGAAACATCACGCGTAGAGTGGACAAAATTTGACACTGAAACCTTACGGGTCAGGTGGTAGCGGATGTGTGTCGTTCATCTTGCACGCATTCCCGTACCTGAAGAATCCTGACGCAAACTGGCGGTGAGGTGGAGCCCATTTTACGGGTACGACCTACGGACAATGGTGGCGCGTGTGCCGTCGCGTGGGACACCTGCTCCGATGACACAGCGTACAAGTGGGGCTGGTTTTACACAGAGAGAGAGAGAGAGAGGGCAGTTTTGTTTTGTTTTGTTTTGCTGTTTTTTGTATTTTTGGTGTGTCTGGAGATGGACACGGGAATTACTTAGGAAAAATTAAATTGTCGGCATTTAAGGCTCCTCCGACATGCGTGACGCGCTTTTGGCGTAAACACATCAACATTTTTTTTTTTTTTTGCTTGGAAAAACACATGAGCATTTAATAATTCATCTGTCCGTATAAACAAGTAATAACGATCGCAAAAAAGTAAAAGGAAAACTAAAAATTAATAAAATAACAGATAAGATAAGGAGGGGATACAGGCAAGTGCACTCGAGATTGGAACGCGTGGCAGGAACGCGCCTCTGTTGGGGACTCTAAGGACAGTCAACAAGTGTGTTGTTTTGGGGGGACCTAGGATCATCAGGTTACCAAACAATGCATAGACATTAGACACAAATGGGGTTGGGAGAAAATAGACATCACATCTCCAGTTGTTTTAGTAGGATGTGCTTTTGCAGTTTGCACTGTCAAAACAAATATAAGTTTTTTAATTATCTTTTAAAGACTTTTTCCGGTGCCTCTTTACCGGTTGGATAATTTATAATTATTAAATATGATTAAAATCATAGTATGTTAAAAAAATATGTAAAATAAATAATTTTTAGTACAATTTAACACTGAAACAAGATTATTTTTAGTAGTTTATTTTTTGAGTACCTACAAAAGAAAACTCCATTTTTTAATCTAGAAAGATTGGTGTGTAATATTATAGTTGTTTGTGTTGCCTCTCCTGCTTGCTATATATCGAAAATGTCTAATGTGCTAGTTCTATTTATATATGTTTGAAGAAAGCGGAATGGAATGCAAAATAAAATAAGAACTAGTAATTGAGGAAAGCTAATTGAGAGTTTGGATCAACATTTTTGTCAGCTTATTTCTTTCCCCCTAATCTATTGCAGATTTCTCAATTGCAAATTGATGAGATGATAGTTGAATGAAAAAGAAGAGAAATGTCTATCTATCATATTTATATATCATCAAAGGTTTCATATGGGAAAATCTATTTTTTTCTCAGCATTTGCTTTGTCATGTTGTAAGATACATTCCATTAAATAGAAACAATTGCGATTAATATTGATAGTTCTCACACGAAGTATTAGAATAGAATGAACTATAAATAAAAATTCAATGTATAATTTTTTTCTTGCATATTCTCGACAAACACTAAAGATCTGTATAAGCACAGAGTGAAAGGAATGATAATATGGCACCTTCACTGGTACGATAACGTACCGGTAGGTCAGTTTTCTAATTGTTTGATACATATAAAATCACGTAAAAGTAAAAAAATATATAAATTTAACGGTTAGAAAAACCTGACCTACTGGTACACTGATGTACTAGAAAATCTCCTTAATAATATTGATTAACGTGGACTTTTTTTTTTGAGTGGGGTGAATGAATCTAAAGTTTTAAACTAAAATAATAGTACAATTATTTTTTTTATTTTCTAATATTTCTTAATCCAAAAGAATCAATCTTCTAATTAAGTTTAATTTACTTTTCAAAGTATTCAATCCACAAATTGTAATTCTAGCAAAAAAAAAAAAACCACAAATTGTAAACTTATATAGTAGTGTTACTTATTGTTGACTATTTAGCAATTTAGGTTTGAAATTTGTTTAAACCTTTCATATAAAGTCATAAATGATATAATTTAGTGGGGCACTTGAAAGGAAAAAAAAATTGTTAAAAACATTAGGTTGTGGTAAAATTCAAGGGGTCATTTTGGGTTAGTGGGGGAGGTTGCCCCACTGGTTGAGTTAAGTGAGTCCAAAGTTAAAAATATTAAAATGTTTTATTTATGATTACGGATATTATATTGTAAATAATTATTTAGTATATCGGGTGTATCACGTTATTTTGATAATGTGGTATACCCATTTAATAAAAGATTGACATTTGTGTGCTTTATCATGTCAATTCTTTTTAATATTTTTTTCTCCTAATATATATTCCATTAATTTTTCAATAACACTTGTCATAAGTATACTCCATCTAGATTTTTTTATATTAATTAACTTTTTATGGAATATTAATTAGTTTTCAACACTCGAGACGAGACATTTTTTTTAATTCTTAGAAAATATTTTCTCTTCCCTTTATCAATTTAGAAAAGTTGGAGTGAAAAAAAAAAAAAAGGAAACGTTAACAAGTAAATTGCATCCCTCCTGGCTCCTGCCCATATCAACAAACTTGCTACCAATAAGTTATATTCATAGAAACATATTGACAAGGAGGACGAGTAGTCTTATTTATTTTATTTTTATTTTTTATTGTTTTTGGGCTCAAACAAAAGGGCGACAATTTGTATCCTCTTATGTGAAAGAACGTGGCTGAGTGAGAAATATGAATGTTAAGCTAGCTATAGGATTGAATAGCCAATAGAAAAACAAAAAAGGCTAGATTTAAGATGAATTTCAGTCGGTATAAATAGGAAAAAACAAATACTAGTGGTAATCTCAATCCAGTGATACACAAATTCATTCATATATTTCCTTTTTTTTTCTTTCGTGTATGCTAAATTGATTCAAGTGTAAAATAACAATATTCTTGAAAGTTTGTATTAATTGAGATAAAAAAAATACAGGTGAAATATTTATGACAAGTGTTACTAGGTAATTATGCGCATGTCTAGACCGCTAGAAACACTAGTTCGTACTTGGGAGGACACTCATATACCTAATACTAAAAGAGAGAGGGGTAGACGAAGAATTACGTAGACTGAAGTAGTTAGGAAAAACATTTTAGATTTAGGTCTTCAGAAAAGTTTAATTTCGAACAAAATTGCGTAAAAAGTAAAATTCATATAGCTAACTCCAATTAAGTTAGAATTAAAGCTTGTTATTGTTGTTGTTGGTAAGTAATTAATGGAATAAACACTAAATATCTG